AGATTGTCTGAAATAGGATGAACAATTCAGCCTGCCAGAGGGAGTAGAGTCGCTCTAGCATTCCCTAGGGTGGGGGGATGGGGACGAGGATTGTTGTATATTTGGCCGTGATTTGTAGATCTGTGAGCCACGGTTGGCATGCAGATGACGTGATCCCAATGCATGTACATACGGTAGCATTCATGAAAAAACGAATTTCACGATCACCTTGTAGATGTTTACCGTCGTTCCATAACATGAATCACAAGAGGTAGGAGGCAGCTTGAATGTGCTCGGGAAACTTAAAACAGTATTGAAAAAAGCAAAACAAAAAGCTAACATACGAACAGTGATTTAGCCCATGGAAAGTGAGCACATTTGGCTGTCAGAAGGCTTGCTTATGTTCACGGACTGCCTTCTTATGGGCGAGCTTCTTTCAGCAAAACTGCGCCAACCTAGTTACAGTTAAACACCATCTTTAAGTTGTTAGGGGGTTTAGCGGATTTGTTTAAGTCACAATTGGTCAAATGAACCATCTTTAAACACACATATTACTCCAGACCAAAGTTCGCCCTGAGTTCTTTCACTGAAGCCGCTGCCAGCTCAGTTCATCATGCACCAGGCGAAGTAATTCGGGATGCTATGAACACAGGTTCCGGTAATATCTATTAAAATTAAAGAATTTAAAAATGGCTTAACGAGATTTGCTCATTTGAAAGAAATTGTCTGGTGAATGTAGCACGGGGTACCCGTTGTCCTAAACCTAGGGCACTCGCGTCTCTAGCGTACGCAACCATGACTACTTTTATTGGCCTCGTTTATCAGCGGACCCGATTTCGCTGGGTGAAAGGTCTACGAGACTTGGACTGCTATAGACCACGTCCCAACCGAAAATCCTTGTTGACTCTTCGAATTTCGGGCTCTATCAGGCATGCCTTAACTTTCAATTGTGAGTTTAGGACAGTTAGCCGCAAAAAACGTCCATTACACCACGAGAACGCTGCCAATGTATATACGGAGTAGCCGGATGATTCTATGTGAATTATAATCCGCATTTGAAGACCCCATGACACAGCTCATTGTAGCGTCATCAGAGGCCTGCTTGAGCCTGTACGGGAGCACAAACTCCCTGACAAAGCCTCTAAATCTGGAACTGAAAGCAGTAAGCGTCGTGTTTACGCGAGGAAATAATGCGTAATGTCCCGCAATGACATTTACAGTAGGGTGTTTTGGATTGCAACTTCAGCATCTGGGTCTTTGGTTTCTGCCAAGATCCGCGGCTGGACGGAAGATACGTCTGGAGACAGTTGAAACTGTAGAACTCAAGCCACATGAGGTGGCTGTATTACTCATTACAATATGCGTCGAAAACATAGAAGATAATGGGTCGTCAAGCACATTCGACTTATCACCACCCTCTAAATTCAGAGAATCGAGAAATTGACTGCAATTACTACAATTGCTTTAAAGTGGCGATGTTATGTGATTTTCCACAGTGACTCCTTACGGCTACCGATGATAATCCTCAGGATAACAGGTGCGAACCGCCTTTGCTTTCCTTGAAATTACCAGTCATGCCGAAATGAGGTCTCCTCGGCTCATTTGCAGGATAATACCCATTCAATCTTGTATTGTTGCTTTGACCTACGGCCCTCGTATGCGATATGTGGCCGACGGAATCTCAACAAAGAGTAGGGAGGCCAGCGTATACTGAGCAGTCATAAACTGTTATCCTAACCCAATTCTGACTCGATATCTAGCAAAAATCCCTGCGACACACCACCCCTTACGCTGTTTTCGGGAACAAGCGCAAGCACATACAAGCATTGATTCACGGATCCAATCACGAAAAAAGACTTTCTTCGTCCTGCCTGTAGCTCCTAATGTCCTAAAAACTTAAACCAAAAATGCCGCCTCTATTTCCATTCACATTGTGGGTGTCCCCGCGACAGTACATTGTCCTTTTGCAAGCTATTAATGCTGTCCAACGCTTATTCTTTGGAAGAACAAATCATTTTTTCCTCAAAAATTATAGTAAGTGAAATATTTTGAAGCAAGTTTCGATGATGCGCCGCTCCGTGTGTACCATCCCCAAAAAATAATTGCTACATACTTTCTGCGTTCTCATATGATAAGACAGCATAAGTCGTACAATACTAAAACGGTTGACAAGACAGGTTCAATAAACTTCTGGGTATTTTCGTACAGGCTTTATAAATATCTAACTC